GCTCTGTGCTGTAAGTGAACTCAATTCACTGTGTCCTTCCTCTGGGGACAAACCTGAAACAGACAGCTACCGTTTGGGAGCATCCCTGCTGGCACCCATGTCTACACACTGTCTGAGGAAGGTGTTCCCAGCTCACTGATCCCAGAGTCCGCCATGGCCTGATACAAAACACAAGGGCCAGCATGCGACTGCAAGGTGCGCCTTGGCTGGGATAAGCTGGGAAGTTCATATTTATTTTATAAAGTTTACAAAAGGGCATAAAATGCCATGCCATTTCATTCTGAACAGCTTCTTCCATCTTCTACTGCAGCACGTAGCACTTAGCAGCTAAATAACAGCAAAGGGAGGAAATTAAAAAGCATAGAGGACAGAAGGGCGCTGTATTTCCAGCTGAGACACGAGTACCTGGGATGAGAAGAGCCAGAGCCAAGGCTGCTCTGCCTGTCCATGTAATGGTTTCCTTTAGGGTTGCAGCAAACAGCCCCTTCCTGTCATCAGTGTGTGTTTTTTCTACAGCCACCAGGTGACAGTAACACCTGCATGATGTAGCAGCTGGGGCCTATGTCTGATTTTTGTTTCCTTATCCTTTTTATCTAGGTCCAGGCTTGCAGAACAGTGAAGATATGTCACAGCAGAAATACAGGCATGGTCATCTCCTCATGCTCCAAAATCAAGAGGGAAGTAAAAACTATTACAAGATTACAGCAATTAAATTCATGTGAAGTTCTTTTTTCTTGTCTTAACCTTTCTACTTACACAATTTCTGTTTTCCAGGCCTTTGGGATGCTGCAAAGAAGTTGACTGCTTCTGTTCCATCTCCTTTAATGATGATGTGAGTCTGACCCAACTGCAGATATTTCTGTGCACTGGAATGTTAGAATAAAGAGCCTTATTTGTATCTGAGAGGTGGCAAACCTGCTTCTTTCCTCCTGGTTCCTTTCATCATGCAGATTGGGAGGAATATTTTGTTTGTTACTTAAAAAAGCATATTTTTTAAACTTTTTTTTTTTTTTTTTCTTGTAAATACTCATTCCCTCTTGTTATTACATTAGCTATTCTACTTTGTTCTTCTGTGAAGCAAGTTTCAGTTTACAGGTACATCTGCTTTCCATTCCACAGCTTTAAGTCGTCAGGAAAATCTTAAAACCTACTTAATGAAGCCTTTTAAATGCTCGCCCTGCACTTTTGAGTGAAGTGCAATTTATATTTCATAAAAGTAGAAGCTGAGCTGCAAGCTGTAAGTAATTATCATATAATTAAATGTCTACTATGAAAGAAATGAAAACTCACGCTTCTTGGGAAGCTTCCGTGACTGGTTTATGCAATAGCAAATTAAATTACACTTCTTCACCTCATGAACATTCTGGAGGTACGTTGACCCATTTTGGAGATGCACCTCTGAGACTGCTAAGCTGCTTTGAGAGGGGAAGGAAGTTGATCAAAGCAGCAGATTCCATGGGCCAGGTAGAAGAACATGTAAATATGTGATGGGTTCTGCAAACTGGACTGTTTGCCTTCTTGTCTGGGAACACTAGCAGTTAATAATGAAGAAATCAACCCTCCATGAAAAGTAGCTTAAGTGAGCTATCCTGTTATTAGATTACTGATGCATTGTTGGGTTCTAGCAGATGTGGTCTTTCTCTGCTGGAGAGAAAAAGGTTCAATTTTTGGGTAGAAAATCTGGACAGAGGAGTAACTCTTCATGTATTCAGATATCCTATGTCCTAAGCTATGAATCCCCTTCTGCTGCCCAAGGAGGGCAGCGAGTTTGTAGACAATGCACCTGGTGAAGTTTGTGGTGAGGATCTCCAGCTCTGGGTGTGAACTGTTCCTTTCATTTGACAGCTACTTTTAACAGCTGCTCCTGTTAATCATTATTCAAATAACGGTATTCTACAATGAAAATTTCATGACAAGGAAGGATAGAAAGTAGCATATCAACATGTACATTCTGTGTTCTTGCTATTCGTGTTTTCGGCAGTTCATGGCTGGAGGGATGTAGCTGGCTTAGTTTCACCTGAAAAGCAGCAAAAACTCTGAATTATTTAAAGATGAGAAGCTCTGGCTTGGAGCTGTTCTAATGCAAGGCGCTGCTGCAATAATAGTCTGTTATGGCTTTATGCAGATGATGAATGAAATATTTTTGTGTGCTGATGGAATTTAAGAGCAGTTTCTGTATGACTTACCTTAAAGAACAGAAAGAACGAATGTTTCATCATATTTCTGTAGTATTCTGATCTCACACAAAACTTGTGTTCCTTTACTGCAAAAAGGGAAGACTGAGCAGAGACTGTGAGAAGCTCCACCACTTTGCTGCTTGAGGGTCTAATGAGCCCCATTTTTATCTCCTCAAAAGAAGATACAGCTCCTGCTGCCTCCAGTGTATAGCATAGTGATAGTTAAAAATCTTAGTTCACTATTGTATACAAGGGGGTGATGACAATGTAGTGGTATCCTTCATGGCATGCCAAGGGGACGTACAGTTGGCGTTGCCTTTTTTTTTCTTTCCCTCTAACTTTTTTCCTAAGGTTAACAACTTAACCTTGACTTCAGGCTGTATTTTTTTCTCATTACACTTCTCCATTACACATTATTTGGTTTGGTTACAGTCACTAGAGTTTAACTGCTCTGACATATTAATTTTTAAGGGCATAAATGACTTCATTAAAATAATGTCCTTCAGATAAGTGTACTTGGCACTGTGATTGGAAGTGGACAAAAAGAAATATGAAGCATCAGCTCTTCTGTATTAATAATATATTACAGAAACCAAAACCAGTAGAACGTATAGATATAAAAAGCTGTTTAGTTAACTTGAGGTTGCCCAGGCCCCTTAAATCCTTTGGGAATGGCTGTTGGATCAGGTCACTCCTAAGGGTTAGGTTAAGATTTCCTTAACAAAGCAAGCCCAGAGCCCCAGTGTGAGTTGGGTCCATCAGACACCCCGTGTTGCATTGCCACAAAAAGTGTCCAGGACACAACTTACCGTCCTCTGGCAGCCCTTTTGCAAATAGAAAACAAAACCCCCCAAAAGTTCAATGTATAGCTCACCTCCTTCCATTGATTATGATCAATCATTTGTATAACCATCAGGATTTTCCTTTATAATGTGCTTTTAAGCAAACCTTTGCTTTATGTTTGGAATCTCTCTTCATTTATATGCAATGCTGGTTTCTTAGTCTCCCTGCTTATTCAGCCTTATTTCTTAGCAATAATCACATGCTTGTTAGGAATCAGAAACAAAGAGGAACACAGTCTGTTGTATCCTGATAGGAGATGTTCGTGGGAAGTAGGTTAGAGTTAGAATAGGTGCTTGGAAACGAAGGCTGCTCTCCTGTTGCCACTGCTGGACTCCCTGCTTCAATCCCTAACATTAAGAAGTCGCAATAAATTCAGTTAAAAGGGGAATGTAGGCTCTGTTGCTGGATGATACCAAGAGAAGAAGGAGCGGCAGGCAACTTCTCCAAACCAAGAATTGCTCTTTCTGCAAAGGACCTGCAACCCTCCTGGCCAAGAAGCACGCTGTAAACACTCCTAGCAAACCTCCAAGGGGAGGTTACAGGCTGAGATGTATGGCAGCTACAGCGATGCAGCCTAAGAACAGACCATCCAGGTACACCGACAAGGTTCCTTTCTGCCAGACCTTTTTCCCCAGCATGATCCCGTGTTGCCTGGTCTGCAGCTGGGCCTGGTCCCTGAGACTCCATAGGGGACTCCCATGTGTTGCCTCAGCTTCTTATGATGTGACAAACACTATGAGCCTGCTCTTGAAGGTGTTTTGTGTGCATCCTAGTGCAGCTGACGTTTTAGCTGAGTGCTATCTCCTGCTTGCCCCTCCTTCTCCAGGGCTGTCTGGCCTCTTGTAAGGGCTCCAAGCTTCCTTCATGAATCATCAGGCTGGGATGTGCAAAAAGCCTTGAGGTAGTAAGTGGACATGTATGAATGGACATGTCCTGAAATCCAGCATTAAAAAGCAGCGCTTGTGCCTGACAGTGGGGGCTGAGGGGACCTGGGCTGAACTCCTCAGAGCCACACAGCAGGCAGACAGCAGCTTTGTGGCCGAGTCCTTGGCTGCTTCCCTCAGACCCGCAGGAGCAAAGCAAGGCAAAAAATGCCGGGCTGCTACAGATGAAAAAAACCCTTCCTAAAAAATGAAGTTAAAATTGAAGCTGACCTGAGTTAAAAAGCAATTTTCTGAGAATGCAGAGGTGCGAGAGGAAGTGCTTGAATGCACTGTTAAGTGGGGCTGTGAATGTGGGAGCCAAGCAGCAGCAGGGAAGGGCTGCTGGGGGAGTCCTGCCACGCGCCCGGAGCACATCTCCATCATGGAGCATGCTTCGTGTGACTGCTGCATTCTGCCTGGATAAATGGATTTTAGAAGAATATATGTAATTTTTGAAACCACTTGACAAGGTAGTAATAAATCTGCCAGCGTTTCTACTTTGACCAAAGCTGAGCTGTAATTTGGGCTTCATTTCAATACCTAATGCCATTTTGGGGTGGGAAGAGACCTTCCTAGCTTTGCAATTAGATTTCTCTACAACAAGTACTATACTCAAACCTGTATCGTTGCCTTTGAGGAGCAGCAGTATTTAAAATCCTCTGTAATGCAATAAGCCTGAGCTCCAGCTAAGGGTGTGCTGTGCTGGTATAACGCTGCGCTGGTGGTGGCTCTTGTTATGATATCGAATGTGAGGTAAACACAGGGCTTTCTTCAGGAGTAATTAATAATTTAACCTCTGTGAAATAGAGGTGGCACTTCATTTATCCCAAGTGTTCTTTGATTTTCTCTGTGGCCCATTTCAGCTGGCATCTCTGCCTTTCTCCCCTTCTCACCCATGCTGGCTGCCTTCATAATAAGCTTTTTAGCAAAGTCCAGCTTTTTTATTTTTCAGATAGCACTAAGCTTTTATTTCACATAAAAATAATCATGTCTTACTGTAAAAGACTGTCTGTTGAGCAGACCACTGGTGTGATGGGGAGCCGCAGCCCCTGAAGCAGCTGCTGCAAAGCAGTACTCACTTTGCTAAGCACAGCTCCTGGACCAGAGCATGGAGTATACACATGTCTGTCTGTCCACCTGTGTGTGAAGCTGAAAAGAATCTGTAGGGGAATGTTAGCTCAAGGCTTGAACTGGTGATTGAGCAGCTGGTGAAGGGCTGTGGCTGCCCAGGGAGCACAGGCAAATTGTTTGCACCTGTGCTCCCCAAGCGACTGAAAGGGGTGGAACCTGGGTGCAACCACCCTGGGCTCATATAAGGGCTAGCCATGGAAGGGAGAGGGTCTCTTGAAGTTAGGCTGTTTCTTGGGGTGCAGTGCTGCTGCATGGCCAGAGATCCCTTTTCTGGTTGAGTGAGTTCAACTTCTTTTAATTTTTTTTTTTATTTTCCTTCTGTGTATGACTGTTGGCCTACCTGTGAGTGCTTTGCCTGCTATCACCAAGAATTGCTGAGAAGCAGTTTTGCTTCTTTGTGAGCAGAATAGAATTGCAGTGAATTAATTTGGTGTTTGCTTCTGCTTTCAGATCTGCATGAAGTCTTGGACCTGCCTGGCTCTATGAGACATGAACCTGTACCCTCTGTGTGCAGTGCTACAGCAATTCAGCATGTCTTTGTGCTGGAAAAAGTCTTCTTCCTAATCACAGTTTGCCTTGATCTGCCCCAGAGCAAGGTAAACTGAATCAACAAAGCAATTACTACTTTCTAAAATGTGAATTTTTAATTTTATAACTAGTATTTTCTACAAGTAAGTGCAGTTGCAAAGCTTTGTTTTCTGTGAATTTGTATTTTATACTTGAATTTTCGCTTGTATTTACGTAGCTTGGGAACTTTCCTGTTGCTTGAGTATTTCTCAACATCTCCCTTGTGTGGGTTTCCTAGTATCAGAGGTGCAAAGTTAATGGTATGCTTTTTCCCTTAAGGAAACCAGAGTCTTGCTCTTCACAGCCACTCAGTTTCAAACTCTGTGTTACTCAAGTGAAATTAGATGATGGAGGTCAAGTATTAGGAGAATAAGCAGGAAGACGTGCAGAATGAACTAATTGGTTGGAATGTTCCAGTGATTACAAAATAATCATAAAGGAATCTCATTCTGAAGTACTGGGAAATTGTATGTAGAAAGAGCATGGTTTCCTTTTCTTCCTTTCTGACTGCATTTTGAATAGGAGCAATCACAGATGGTGGCTCACTGGTTGGAGGTAGTTCTTCCCCTGGATTTCTAGTGCTTTTTGTTTGTCAGTGGAAGACAGGATATGTGAAAATCTCCTGTCACAAGCACAGCTCTACTTCTTAGCCTTTTGTCATTCAACTTCTGCAGGGACAACCTGGCTGGTGAGCACGACTCCAAAATTGCATCAGGGCCTTTGGTCTTTGATGTTCCAGGTGCAAGCCTGGTGAGGTGTGAGGCTTTGCAGTGAAGGCAGGTGAGAGCTGGGGCTCTGGAGCAGGGGGATGCTGCCTGGCAGTCTGCTGCTGTCCTTTTGCCTGGTCAAATAAGGAGTCCTGGGGCTGTTTCCATTAGCAAGATTTGTTTTAAAAGCTCATTTATTTTTGATGTACCATTCTTATTTTAAAAGAATGCATTTAAAAGAAGTTCTATTTTATTAAGCATGGCAGGAGTTGAGCAGTAGGAGACGTGCTTTCTCTCCCTTACCTTTGCATTTTTAAGTCCTCCTTAACCAATCCAAAAAAAGGCTCTAAGTGGCTGTTGGTGTTCATCCAGGATGTGTTCAGGTTTCCTTGTGCATTCTGCCCATTACCCTGGTTTCTGCTGCCTCTTTTTCAGGCATACAAGTCACCATAAAGCAGTACCTAACAAAAAATCTCCACAGCTACACAGGATTTGAGCAAGAGTTTTTTCTTCTCTGGAGAGTTACTCTTGTTCCAGATGCCTACATCCATACCTAATAACTTGCAAAGAATGTCCCAGCTCTTCGGAGTTGATAAACATTTCTTATGTCAGGATAAACTCTTATTTTATGTCCAATACGTATTTCACTGTATTTATTTCCAAAGCAACATAACGATAAAGGTTATTTAGCATATTTTTTTTCTTGTGTTTCCTGTAGTCTTTAGTAACAAATCTATTTTCGTTCTGAAGTGCTGCTGGCATTTCACAGGATCTGAGCAGAGCTTTGCTCAGCCTTTCCCCAGACTGGTTGAGGATGCTGGTGTGTACCCACGTGTGATGCACTGTTTCAGCTGTGGGAAAAGCCTGTGCCATGCAGGTATCAGTGGAGGTGAATATTGAGGCAACTGCTGGCAGTGATTCAGAGTATCACCAGGGAGGCAAGGTGGGGAGATGTGACCCTGGATCATTTTTACCCCATAATGTGCAAGCAATTTAGCAATTCTAGCAGCTTCCAGTTTCAGAGCAACGGATGATTATTTTCAATATACGTTTCCAGAGTATTTTCTTCCCCAAATTTAATTTGAGCAAAGAATGCTTTCAGCACTACAAACTAAATTGGTTGCAGCACTGTCACGTTGGCTTTATGTATTGCTGTTCCCATTTTTGGTGGCTAGGACACTTGTGCTTTTGTTTTACAATTAATATTTTGATGAAACCTCGTAAGGTACCGTAGGCATAAATATTTAATACCTTCCTCTCCATGTTTCTTTATTGCTGAGCTTGGTGATAAGTTAGTACTTCAGACTGAAATGCAGATAAAACAGTAATGTGAGCAGTTTAAATCCGCATTTTTCCAGTGCTCCTCTGGTCAAGACGACTGTGTTGCAGCAGGAGTATTGCTATTTAAAATTGTTTACCTCTACGCTTCAGCTGAATGCTGCTGTATGTGATAAATGAGGTAAATAAAGGTGCCTTTCGGGTCCCAATAACTGCACAAGAAACCTAATCATTCTCACTAACATAAAATAATTTAACAAATGGAACGGTGCCATAGCAGCCTAATAAGAAATTTCTGAGTACTGCACCACATATGGCCAAAGACTCTTCAGGCATAATTCGTGCTCCCCCCAGCTTTATGGTAGGCTTGTTTTATGTTTAATGTGGAATAAAATGTTGCACGTGGCATCCACAATACTCCCACATTTTTTTTCTTTTCAGAATATAGTTAACTTTTGATCTGGGCATGAAGTAGTATGGTGTTTTTTTTTTTCCCCATGATAACTGGCATTGCTTTACCTTATGGATAAGATGTGTTGGAGTTCAGGGTGGGGGGATGGGAGGGAAGCAAACTTAAACCATTAGGTGTGGATTCTCATCTCTTTAGAGACATTACAATGTCATTTAAATAAAACAGAACAATACCTTTAAAGGTGGATAATGAAATGTCTGTCCTCTTCCACCTCCTGCTTCCTTCCCGGTTTGCCCAGAATAAAGCAATTTCTGAACAGATGAAGTTATTACTATTTAATAAGAGTAATTTCTTGCATGACACCAATGGGTTTCTGCTAGCCAAGATGGTGTCATTTGGCTTTGTTTGTATCTTTAAAATGATGTTGCTTAACAGAATACCATTTGAGGTAAAAGGATGTTAATCCCCTGCCTTGTTAGGGTGATCTGGGTTACCTCCTGTAGAGAAGTGTGTGCATCTTCTGTGCACACCCTCAGAGATTTGATCTGGAATTCAACCACCTCTGCAGCTCACTTACATAAGATAAACATCTTGTGTTCCTGCCTCAAGTACATGCTAGAAGGCAGCACTAAGAGATCTAATAAAACTTCCAATTCTTCTCCAAAGTGCAGTTTAGTTGCAGGCTTTATGTATTTATGTGAAGAGTCAACTTGTGCTCCTATCCTGTGCTTCCAAGCCTTTGTCTTGCAGATACCAAGGCAGCAATGCGAATAAAAAATAGAGCTGGAGAAAAACGTGACTTTATTAGAGCTTTGGGAACTTGAAGATACACTTATCGCAAAGTCTGCTGGTTAAAACAAACACAGGAACTGTCTGTGAGAGTGTCTCAATTCTAGCTGTTTCAATTGAACTATTGCTTCGCATCACTGGGTACTGGCAGCTCCCTGGCCTTGCTACCTCTTCCAGCAGGTGAGGCTGGCTGCTGTGGGGGCTTTGCAGAGCTGCAAAGGGAGCAAGGCCACAGTGCACAGGGAGCTGTGGCTGGCACAGAGATGGTGCTGTCCTGGGCTGCCCTCAGCCTCTGAGCTGTAGGGGTGCAGAAGTCACTGCTGTGCCTTCAAAGAGCAGGAGCTGTGTTTCATTAACACCAGCCTGAGTGTCATGGTGGAAGCACAGATGGTGTGTTTTAAAAAACAAACCAGGAAACACTTTAAAATAAATGAGAAGCAGTTATTCTCTCCTTTGGTGCCTATTGTAAGCAAGTGTTAATGTGGTTGGGCAGAGTCTGTATACGGGCTAGCTGTTCCTGTCTTTGGTGCAATGGGAATAAATGAAGACAAAGGAATTCATCTGAATACATCTACTCATACCAAACATCAGTGCCCTCATCTGAGCTTTGCTAATGAGCAGCTCTGCCAGAAGGGGGCAGGGCTGTAAGTGCTGACTGTGAGCACCACCATGCTGCAGAAGGATGGCTGGGTGTCTCCCAGCAGGTGGGCACTGCAGGCAAGATTTGGGAGGGCCGTGTTAAGAATCATTAGGCTCTCACTGGTCAGCGTGGAGCTGATAGGGTGTTTTTCTGCTGAAGCCTGTTTACAGGAGCACAGTTACAGTGAATTTCTCATTTTAAATATGGCTTCAGTTCATAGTGCTGTTTTTTCCTTGACATTTAAATTTCTTCACAATAAATTAAAGCAAATGTCTATATTAAACTAAAACTTTAAAAAAAAGGCCAAAACCTCACTACAAGTTAATTTTCAAGCCATTGAAATAATGTTTTTCAGTAAGTATTTGCTTTTCACGTAGATATCTTGTACCTTGTCAATACACTCTCATCCTGCTTTCTACACGTTCCTCTCCCCTAGAAGTCCCATACAGCCTCGTGGATCAGTGGGATTTCCCCCAGATGATAAACTGTTTCTCTTACTCCCATTAGTTTGTTTGGGAAGTTGAAAAGCTGGAGTAATCAAAAATAATCATTGGTGTCAAAACTATTATGAATTATTAAAAGAGGCACAGCAATGGGAGCTACAGATGATTCCTCATTCTGAAAATGAGCACGTCTTATGTTATTGCTGCAGTAATTACCTAAAAATACCTAATACTTAATTACTTCCAAGGTGTCGATCTTCATAACTGTTTATTAGAAAATTCTAATGCATGGAGCAGCTGCTTCCGCAAGCAAATCTAGTTGTGGTGAACCTGACATTCTGCTCTAAATATTATTCCATTTTGATCAACATTATTTCTCTACGCATATCTTGTTACAGCTGTTACAGATTGGGAAGGGAGGGTTTATCCAGCTGCAGTGGGAATTGCTTTGCTCACTCACGGCTGTCAATTTCCAACTGCTGGAGCAAGTGAAAACATTTGCAACCAATTTGTAATGAGGAAGAAGCTAGAACAGTTGGTCTGTGACCCTGTGCTTGGTTTCTTGGTGGTATTTCAGCTATATAAATGCCTGGTTCAGATTACAAAGGCTTCTCTTTCAGGGAACGATCAGCTGTGCGTGGAGGGATGATGCTGGGGAAAGGGTGTGGAGCAGTGAGATGTGGATCAGCAGCATACTGTGCCTTTGCAGAGTCCCCATGCACTTGTTATTACTGGTGTTGGCTGCTAGAAGAACACTTGGCATTTTGAATAGACGGCTTCAGTCTAGAGCACTTGTGAGGTTATCCTGTGTGAATTGCAGTGGAAACTGTGAGTGAATTAGGACAAAATGTAGCCCAGAAATATAAAATCTATCTGCTGTTTTGTGCAGGAAATGTTTAAGAAGTCCGGAATGAATGAGCACAACAACAGAAGCAACTGGAAAGCTGTAGGCCCTAGAAGCAAGCTCGTCAGTAACCTGGTTAATACAGGATTCTATAAACCACTGACTTCAAACTCTTATGCTTGTGTATTGCTGTTTCCTGCGATTTTTTTCTATTTTCTTTTGGGGAAAAAATATGCTGGATCAGGTATTGTTAAGAAGCCCAGAGCCATCTCTTCTTCACTTCAGCAGCAGGAGCTCTGTGCCTTTGAAGCACAAGGATTTAAGTTCCGTCCTCCCACCTCTGCAGTTTCTTTGCAGACCAAGGCAGTGTTGCAATGTACTCCATTAGGCCTCATGCTATCCTTCACGCTTCACCAGTGGCTGATGCACTAAACGTCCTTTACCCTCCTCCGTGCTGTTCCTCAAGCATCCTCACAGCTGAGACTGGGTCAGGGCTTTGCCACACTGTCTGGCTCCATCCTGGCACGTTCTGAGGCAGCAGCACTGTGCAACCAAGGAGGTCTGCCTGCTGCTGAGAGACAGCAAGAAATCATCTATGACCTAATGGTGATGCCTGTCCTTATTTCTGATAGTTTGCCATTAATTCTGAGTAAACAGCAGGTGTCTGGAGGCATGAGGTTTGTTGGGAAACTTGTATATTTTGTTTAATGCTGTGGATTAATCTCTGTGGTCTTAGTAACTCTTCAGACCTGTTACATTGCATTATTATTATTGCAATGCATGTGTTGCATTGTATTTAATGGGTATTCACTTAACTTTTTTGAAGAGCACTTGGTTCATTGCAAATCTTACTGTACCAGGTGCCTTGCAAGAACAAAATCCTCAAGCAGTGTCAGCAAACTGAACTGACTTTGTGCAAATTTCATGTTATCTAGCCTTTGTGTTTGTAGAAAATAACTAAACCACAGTTTTCATTCATTGGAGGGGAAATGAGTTTTTGTTAAGCGTGTGTAAGGTTGGAGCTGGGTCACCCTGAGAAACAAAGCAAAACCAGATGGTAAGGAGTCAGCTTGATTTCAGGAACAGTGGGTGGGCATGAGGAGTGCCACTGGCTTCCATGGGATGTGCTGCAGCAGTCACCATGCAAATCTCAAGGTATGGGAAAATGCGTGGTTTTGGTTTTTAAGCAAAATCACATTTCTGTGGATTACCTGTGACATCTGTAGGGAAGATATCACAGAAGAGAAAGCTTATAAATGACTGTAAAGCAAATGCCATCCTCAGACTGATGTAAGACCACACACCTGTGCCAGCTGCAATACACACAATCTTGTTTTCTGATGAATTCTGCCACAAAGAACCCAAAGCTTTGGGCTTTTATCCCAAATGAAAACTACAGCTTGTAGCAAGCAAGCACTCCTAGCACAGGGCTGCTTACTGATGGGAAACCTTCCTGCTCTTGAGTTTCTTATTTTCCTGTGTGAGTATATTTAACTGCTGAATCCTCACCCTTTAGTAATTTCTGTGGATACCTATTGCTATGGTAAAAATGAGAATAAGAGTAGTTGCCAATACTGATGCCCATGAAATGGGTAAGCCCAAGGCTGGGCTTTGTCTGAGGCTCTCTCTAGCTGTTGATCCTTGCACTTTGTTCCTCCCCTTAAAAGCTTTGTCTGAAACAGGCTGTAAGATTGGGGCCACAATTACTTTTATGAATTACCTGTGGATTTTTCAGCTATTCAGAGTTCAGCAATACTGACCATGACTACTATTCAGAGTAGTCTAGACATAATGAAAAATATTTTAAGTCATCCTCCCCCTTCCTCCTCTCAAATTGTTCCCTTTCATTCTGAAAAAAATTCAAAATTGGGATGTTTAAAAAAAAAACACTTAAAAAATTCCTGTTCTAGCAGATATATTTGTTACTGAATTACCTCCTAGCATCCTGTTCTGTACCAAAAAGGTCTGATTTTACTTTTTTAATTTGGAGAACAGATTAAAGGTAAAGGGATCCAGAAAAGCTTGCAACTCAGTTGCAGCTTTATGAAAATTAAATAAAGCAAATGCATTGTGGTGGTTTGTATCTTACCTTGGGAAAAGGGGGAGCTACCATGAGCAGGTCACATATTCTGCAGCAGACCCAGTTTATTCTCTTTTATCCTGGATAATGAATATGATTCAGAGAAGAATGCAAATGTTTTTTCTTATTTCCTGACTCTAAAATTGGGACAGGGAGTTTGTTTAAAAGATAACAAAAGGATTAAAATAGGATGCAAAACGTGCAATTATCTGCGATAAGCAATGCTTTATGTTTTGGTTTGTGGGTTGTAAGTCTGTCACTGAAGTGTTCTTCACCTCGTGTAATATTTTATGTGACTGCATTGCTTTTCAATTATACAGCTCAGAGGAAAGTTTCCACTGACAAAAGCAGTGAAAGCTCATTGCTTTTAGTATTGGTTTTTAGTTTCTTTGCTTTTTTCTTTTATAGGTCTCAAGTGCCTCTTTAAATACAAGTCCAAATGACAGGAGTCCAGGAGTTTGGAAGTTATTAGAGAGGTATGGATATATGCAGCTAATGAAATATGCTTGCTTACAATATATCAAGACATGCAGAACACTGAGGAAAGCTCAGCAGTTTCAGTATTTAATATAAGCTGAAGTTAAAGTATTATATATTTTTTGCAAATGCAGCACATGCTAATCTATTGCTGAGCATTTGTCTAGCAGATTCAATTTCCACTCATAACTTTTCATTTATTTGTTTCTCTTTCACATCAACGCAGTTGTGTGTTCTGAGCAGTGCTGGTGAGATGTGTTGTGATGCAGCACATGGTGAAGCCAAGTGATGTACTGGGGCCAGGCACTGGGCTGTTCAGGGGTCTTGCAGAGGTTCTGCTTTAAATCCATCTTAAGTTTTCATCTGTGGTACCGAAGATGCACCAATGAGTGTCTGATAAAGGACCACACTGAGCCATGTTGCAGCTCATACAAAACGAGCAGTTTCCACTGCAGTTAGCCCCAAACACTGTGATAACGTGAATAAATTCAACTGCAGCACTGCTATGTAATAAGGGTGGTGTGATGCTGGTGAAGACCCAGCTGCTGCTCTCCCTGACAGCAGCACGTCATCACACGAGCCTTTCTGAGGCCTATCTGGTAATGAACAAGCTTGCGGTTTTGAAGGCATGAGAAATAATTGTTTTATTTAAAACATAGTACTGAGTCTGCCACTTGACGTGCAGCAGCTTGTTCTGGAGTGGTTCTTGTCAAACTGTTCAAAACACAAACAAGTTTTAAAAAAAAAAAGCTTTCCATTTCTGAATGCTTCCTTGCTGTGCAGTATGTCTGTAAATCAGTGTGTATTTCATGTTGCACTCCCCACCACGCTACCTCCCAAGTGTGGGGTGTTGGAGCAGCTGTGCAGGAGGGCTCTTGGTTTCTTTTGGCCTTCCTGCAGCATGGATGGTCCACATCCTTAGTGCCTATTTTGGCTAAACACCACCACAGCAGCTTTTTAAACATATACACTACTCTATCTTCTGTAGCTTATACTGCTATTGTGAAAGCTGTTTTGCTTGTGAGCCCTTTTTTCTAGCTCGGTGTCAGCTTTGGCTCATGGGGCATTTCACCCCTGCAATAGTTTGAGATCACACAGTGATACTGAGGGAAGG